GCCACTCATTCCATAAAATATTGCATAGCAAAATATTTCAAGTATTCGTAATTTCATGCTTGCAAAACATTTGAAATAGGCATACATGATCCATTTCTTCATATACCAAAATAAAGCTCTTATTGGAAAAATATTCATATTTAACATTTCAAAAATATAGAGGGGTGAGCAGTACCTACCTCAAACTGCTCTCTTGAAGAGATTCTTAGTGCACCCTTAAACTTGCTTCAAACCTATAACGAATAACATATGTATGTCTTAATCTGCTCATACATCCTAATTTAAAGTTCTTATTTCTATCTTGAATAACCCTAAAAAAGTATTTGATAAGTTTCCTAAAATGGAAGGTTTTTCTTTTTAGAAAGTTTTCTAATTTAGAAAGTATCTTTCTTTTTTTTTTTAGAAGTTGCCATAATTTGGTTATCCATAAAATAAGTATTATTTATTTATTCATTTAACTTATTATATATATATATACATACATATTCACTTTTGTAAAAAAAAATGGCATGTATTAGTTGAGGTCGAATTATAAAAATGGACGGCATCAGCATATTTGTGTTCACTTAAATTATTCTTTATGTGTTGTTACTTTTTAGGTTTATGATTCACTTGAACACTTAAAAGAGTCTTTGAGTTCATTTAATGAAATCTGGGTTTTATAATAACATTAGACTTTTAATATAAATACTTCGAGTTGTCTAATTAAAATTGGATTATTGCTAAAAATTTGGATTTTTTTTAAATAACTCAATTTATGAAAATGACTTGGTCTAGTTATTTTGGGCATTTCACTATATTATTATATTTTGTTGGGTTAACTCTAAAATGTTTTGGACTGAGTTCAAAATCCCATGGCCTGATTAATATCTTAGTCACTTTATTTTATTATTTTTTTCCCAAAAATTATCACCATACGTCAGCCATTGCAAACAAGAAGTTTCTTGGGTAATTCTCCTATACAAGTCCAGCAAGGTAGCGGTGGAAAAGTACTAAAGGAAATCTTATGCATTAAACCTCAAAGTACAAAGGAAGGTCTGCTATTTGTTTCTTAGTTAAATTATCTTTCCTCCCAAGCTATTTCCTTACTTTTCCTATAGACTTATCAATCCAAAATTAATAAAATACGTCTGAAGTAGTGATCATGGCCATAGTAATACTCATCCTTGAGATTTAACCAATTAATCACCATAGGTATTGGTGGTAATAGTATTAATATAAAATTTCGATGACTTCACTACTGCTAGTAATAATATTAAATTGCCTTAAAGGTTGTACATAGAAGCACAGTGCATCAATTCCACTTAGGCATATTCACTATCAAGTTCGACTAGAAATTCCTACCTAAATTCATGAGTTATGGTTCTAAAACTCATACTAGACCAAACACACACGTCCGTGGGGTAACCATGATATACCAAAACCTGTTACTTGATTGAATATATATTGAAAACAATGGCTTACTTGTTCAAGGCACAAAGTTGAAGACTGGTTTTCCTCCTTTGTTGCTCTACCCCTTTCTCGTACTCTTTTTTTTTTCCAAGCCTAGGTCCAGGAGGTTCCATTCCCTTGGTTTCAACTTTTTCTTTTGTTGACCCCTTCTTTCTTCTTGTAAAAAAAATAAAAATAAAAAAATTGACTGCTATTAGACTAGTTATAATTGGAGTTAGTTCACACCACTTCTTCCTAAAATAACTCCGCCAACTCAAACTAACTTCCATCTCTTCCTACTTTATCTCCTAGTTTGTCTCCTATAATATCTACAAGTTCATGTTAATTCCTACTCTCACTTATCATGACTCTTACTATCACTTGGTGGTTGAGATAAGATAAGACATTAACATCATCCTCTATAGAGATAAATTAACTAAGTAAATAACTGGTAAAATAATTATTAACATTATTTACAGAAAAATACGGGGTTTCACACTAATGATGTAATTTTGGAAAGGCTTCTTAAGTTCCGCCCACCAAATTTGATGGAGAATTTAGTGATGGGAAAACTAAATTATAGTTTGAGGAGATGGAATGAATATTTGGAGTTCTAAATTACCCAAAGAAGAGTAAAATTAAGTTGCCACGTATCAACTCTTTGGCATAGCTCAGAAATGGTGGAGGACCATTTCCCTTAAGTGGGAACAAAACAAAACTCTACGTAGATGAATGAATTTTCTAAGAGAATTTAATGATAAATATTACCCTCGTCATCTTAAGGAAAAGAAGGAAGAGGAATTCCTTACCTTGAAACAGGATAGGATAAATGTAGCTCAATATGAGACCAAGTTTATGAAACTTTCTAAATTTGCACCATTGTTAGTTGCAACAAGGAAAATCATGTTAAATGATTTCTTAAAGGGTTGCATTGGAAAATTTAGGATGCATTAGCTACTATGTGATAGAGATCTCTTCAAAAACAATAGAGCTAGCATTCAAAGTTGAATCTAGCAAAATTAGGAAACAAATAAAAATCCAAATTAAACCTATCTCCCTACAATGGCAACAAGGTGTGACAGATAGGGAAATGTTAAATTCAACGAAGAGGTCTATGAGGCTTGGCATTTCAAGCACAATTCATGAATAAAGTTAATCTAGGAAAGTCTGGTTCTAGTAGCCAAGTTGGACAAAAAGATGTTTGTATGTATTGTTAAAGATCATGACACCAGAAAGGATAGATGTTGGCTAAAATTTGAAAAATGTATTGAATGTGGGAGTGAGGAACACTATATTAAACATTGTCTAAGAATGAGGGCAATAAATGATTCCTCTGAAGAATAGAAGAAGAATAACTCAAACAATAAGGTAAGGATTCAAACTCAAGTTTTTACCATGGAAGGGAAAGAGATTGCAGAGGCTTCCAATGTTATGGATGGTGCGCTACTAGCCTGCCAACAAATAGCTAAAATACTTCTAGAACCTGATTCAACTCATTCATTTATTGCCCCTAATTTTGCAAAGATGATGGGTAAACCTATTTAGCTCATTTTGCAGAATAGGCAGCTCGATTCATATCTTATTCGAGTAGCTCGTTTGGGCTTGAGAAGAATGGGCATATATGTCATTTCATAATTTAAAGGAAATAGAAATAGGATTTAGGGGTTAGGTTCTGTTCTTCTATCTTCACTTCTTCAACCAAATCAATTACCATACTATTTTTCTCCCAAATCCCAAATTTCCAATCCCTCTACCATTGCCCACAGTTCACACTACCGTTGAAACATCGGCCATTGTGAACCTAGCCATCTTCAACCATTACTGCAAGCTTCTTCACTCAACCACCTTTCACTTGCCATCTCTTCTCTACCAAAAACCACCGCAGGGAGCTTCTCCATTTGTCATGGCCAACCACCACTATGCAAATCTTCGATTGATGTTCCTTTAATCTTGTAGTACCTATATATAGAGGTATATTGACACCTTTTGGAAGGACCTTTTGTATTAGTTGGAATCATAAGAATATCATTCTCTATTTCTCTACTCATTTCTCTAATATTTCAATTCTTATTATAATAATTTATTTTATTAGTTTTACAATACGTTATCAGCACGAGTCTCTACTTTTGAGCAAAAGGTGAAAACGGAGGCTCTACCTTGAACAAAAGTGAAACAGGAGATTTTGCCAAAATTCTGCCTGCATTTCTTCAAGTAACTTCTGAGGTAAATTTCTGACTCACAAACTTATTTCAATTTCTTATGGCTAATATTTGAATTATCACAAAATACAAGTACCTACTGTTGAGCAACCACTAAATACAAATATATATTGTTTGACATTTTTGAGGTAATATTTCTCCTTTTAATTCTACTTATTTATCTTTATAATTATTTGTTATAAATACTTATATTCTGATGCATTGAGTTTTAGAGATGCTATTATAGAAAATCAATTATGTTTGAGGATTCACTTGTCCTTTAAAGTACTTAAAGAAAAAGATTCGACCTCCTGAAGATGGTCGTTCTTTAACAAAAATATTTGGCCACTAGAAGATGGTGATTATTTCAAAACTTAGTATGATAAATTTACTTATGGGTGCAAGTACACAATTCTGTTATGTTTAGAATTATTTCTTAGTTGAAAATAATATTCTCTACATATTTGTCAAATATGCTCTTGTAGTAGCAATATTGAGAGAAAATTTGAGATGTATTCTGTACTTATTGCATACTAGTTCTAGTCCATTCCCAGAAGTGCATGCGACTAAATTTCAATTTATTAGTTATGGTTGCTACCATAACTATGATTTTGGTAAATATGTATTTTACCATGACAAGAGAAAAAGTTACCACTTGAAGTGGGATAATAATGATAAGGACAAGAAAGTAAGAATCTTGAAGATAAATGTCCTGAAGTACATTTGACGAATCAAAATTATAATAGCATTTTCGCATGGCAAATTTCTTTAAACGCCCTAAAGGTGTATGATGATTGATTTAATTTATGATAGTAATTAACTTTTCTTCCTGAAAAAGAAATGGATGTTAAACATTTGGAATCAAAGGATTATAGTGATGATATTTGTCCCATAAGAATTATGGTGACAATGATATGTGTCTCGCTAATAAATGCTACTATATACACTATTTTCCAACAAAAGAAAGAAACACAATCAGTGGTAGTGCTTAAGTGATTAAAAATTCCAGAAGAGCCACTGTTATATTTGTCCCTATAGTAGAAAAGTTTATGATAAATAAAACACTACTTTTTATCATGTCTCAGAAAATTTATTGAATTTGAATATCCGTCGAAATGGATATCAAATTGAGACATTAAATGAAGCAATAATAGAGATCGTGTTTAGAAATCAAATGAGATAAAGGTTAATTATATATAATAATCATTCGAGAGAGAAATGGTTATCGATATAGTTGTTGTGGCGACCCCACCTTCCCCTGAGGCGAACCAAAGGGTTGGCGGATCGTCTGCCCAGCTCTCGCCAGGACTCAAGCACGCATTTCAAACCTGAATTCCTCCGAAGAAAAGTCTAATCTATTGCATCAGCAAATCTTTCAAGTAAAACTTTATAACTCCACAGTAACTTCAGGGATAGCAGTGACATAAGTCAGCCCTTCGACGGCTCTTAAAACTATCGTTCACGCGCTTTACAAGAACAAAGTCGTACAATCCTAACGTACAAAAACCCAAACAGCGGAAACATAAAAATACCCCAGCCATAGGTCACCACGAGAGCCACACATTTTCCAGCTTCAAGTGGTAACACAAGGCGAAAGTACGCAAGCAGGATTACACGTTACAAACTGAAATTTACAATTCTTAAAAACCACATTGTCCAAACACACGTATAACCAAATAAAAACAGCATCCAACTTCTCAAGCCTCAAAACCTGTAAGGAAAACAAATAAACGTGGGATGAGCCGAAGCTCAGTGGTGCCCCAAAACATGCATCCAAATAAACATTTAACAGGTAGAAATTTGCAGCATTAAACAAGTAGGAAAGCGAGTAACAACACAGGGTAGGATACAGGGCTCTCAGGAGCCAATTTCCACGCTTGATTAGATACTATCGTAGTTGACCCTCCGTCAACTTTCACTACTTATAGTCCATGTAGATCCACTTATTTTAATCCTAACCCGTCACCATTCATACCTCTGCTTTGGGCCCAAACTTCCTCTACCGACGCAGTATACTCGAGATATACCCGTAATAAATTTGTCGAGGGATTCACCCAACGACGTAATTGTAGTTTGATTCATGCGTCGAGGGATTCACCCAACAACGTAACTACATTTAGGTTCATAGTAGTCAGATTCATGCGTCGAGGGATTCACCCAACAACGTAACTACATTTAGATTCATAGAAAATATTTCACACACATCACCACTCGAACGGCTAGTGCGATAAAGTACACACTGCTCACTTCGATGGATCAAAATCATTTATTGTATTTTGACAATTATCACATAGCGAATTGATAAAGCGCTTAACCACATAACATAGAACAAGCAGGGACACTCACCAAGAGTGGAGTTCAGATATTGGATTGAGGATCGAGTTCCGCATCCTCGTAAAATCCTAGAATATCAGAATTTAAGCCATAAGTTTTCTATTGGAACTTTTGGCTTGTACATGTAGAGTTTTCTAGCATGATGCTAGTTTACTTATTATCAAAATATTTTACTTGGAATCGAGCTTATGAGAACCGTACAATATTTCTTATACCATTCCTGGAATACTTTTTCTTCGAAGAAAATACTATTATTATTTTCTTAAAATAAGTCGGCAAGATATTTAATATCAGGGCTAAAAAAATATACCTTGGAAAAAGTTCATTGGAGTGGTTGTACCTACAAAAATCTTTGCTAAGGCTTTAGGGTAAGGTTTATTGAAAAATGTTGCTAAAATAAGGTTTTTCTTGCCGAGCAGGTTTCTACGCTTAAAACCAAAGGGATCGAGTTTCACCTTTTAAATTTCCTTAGTTCCGACTAGCCTTAAACGATTTATAAGGAAGGAATTTGAATCAAACTAAGGTTTTGAGTCCGGGGAAATCATTTTCCCAAATTAATAAGGCTAGTCTAGCTTAAGGGGTAAAAGTCATGTTGCCCAAGTTTCTAAGGCAAAAATAGTAGATACTATGTTTAGTAGTACGATGCTAGATCTGTACCGTTCCAAACTTGAAGCAAAATATTTTCCATTTACTTAGTCAAGCGTTTACTTGGGTTCATAAGGTCGGTACGACTTCTCACGTTTTCGATTCCAATCCAAAAATCACATTTCCTCAATATTGCACAATTAGAATTTAAACAGTAATAACACTAGGGCTCGTCAATTCTTAGCCCTGTGTTCCAACAAATTTATATCTAAGCATAAGCAGGAAAATTTACCAAGGCTTCGTCAATACTTAGCACTTGGTAATCAGTACTTATATCAACTCACAGTTTCACAAAATAGTAGCACAGATTTCTAAACAATTTCAGCAATTCAGTTATCCATGCAGGGTGGGAATTCATAGAGCCCACTGTCAACAATTCTAACACATTGTTTTCTCAAGGAAAAATAAATTTCAACAATTCACTTCCAACCATAATTCAGTCAAAAATTTGAACCACTAGTAAGATAAAAGCTCAATCCGAATTCAAGCTTAGTTTCACAATGAAACAAATCATTCATGCAAAACAGTCCACTTCAAAACTAGATTCATTCGGCAACTAAAATCATCCAGAAAAATCCAGAAATTTTGTCCATTAGCCACGGATGAACATGCATGAAGAAATGTTCTGTAATCATTTTATTTTTCTGGGCTAAAATATGCTTTAAAACTCTCAGCTTCCTCATGCAATCTCTTAGCAAAACGATGCACATTTCCAGATCAGGAGTTGAAATTAAACCAGGATTACAAACCCCAAAATTTCCAGGTTTAAATCTCACGGCTCTTTCTCAAAATTTCTGGCAATAACAATGGTTCTAAAACAGGATTTTCTTTGGTTAAAACAGAATCTTTGGTAGTCTATTAGGACATGTAAACACTTAGCTAGCTAGTAAAGGTTTTCAAATCAAATCCAGGTTCAAGCTACGATTATACTCATCTAACACAAATCCAGAAATTTTACCAACTATTCTCGAATGATCATTCATGAACCAATTTTTTTGGCTTTCATTTTATTTTCCAAGTTCCTAGTTTCATTGTCCAATCGTGTAACTCAACATGCAGGCCCTTAAGCATTTTGTCTTCACTTGGAGAGTTAGGATTGTAACCACAGCTTGTCCTATTTAAGCAAGTTAAGCAAATCATTTCTTAATTAGTCTCGACAGAAGGTTTTCATTAAACCAGAATTTCTTAGGTTCCTTAATTCATCAATCAACTTCATCGAATTAACATGCAGGGTCCTAGACATCAAAAACATTAAGTTCTACTCGGCTAATTCCACTTGAGTGCTCAGGTTATCACAAGAAAAACAGAATTTCAGTTGCATTTCCAAACCATTCTCTCGGCAGAATCATTCTCAACAAAACAGAATTTCTAACAATTTGATTTCATCATCCAACTATATAAAATGATCATGCAAGGCCCTAATCACAATAATCATCCAAATTCCAGTTAATTAATCACCATTTCAGCTCAAATCACTTCAGAAAAACACATTAAAGCTGCCCTTCCAATCATCTTCTCGGCTAAGACATTTTCCTCTTAAAACAGAATTTTCTTAAGCTTTACCATTATCATCCGAAAGCACAATCAACATGCATGGTCTTAATCATCCAGTTTTCATTCAGCTAAGTACACTTGGGTGCTCAGATTGTCCCAGAAAAACAGAAATAAAGCTGCACTATCAGCTCAGCTCCTCGGCAGAACCATCTAGCCGAAACAGAATTTTCCACAGCTTTGATTTCAACATCCGATGGCACAAATTAACACATGCAAGACCACGGTTAGCTTAATCTACCTCTGATATGGCTTCATTCACTAGCAATTAACTTATTTAGTTCAGAAATTACCTAAGCTAATAGCTAAACCCTCACACGAATTTTCCAGAAATGTCTTCCCTCACTCTCGGCCAAGTTCAGACGTGGTCCTGGTTTGAGTTGCGGCTGGAATTGGGTTGCGGATGAAGGTGAGATGGTGTAGCTTCCTGCAGATTCTCCTTCCTGGCTTTGCTCTACTCACGGCAGGACCAAAAATTTCCAGCAGCTCTCTCACTCTCTCGGATGCTCTCGGACAAGGCAGGGAACAAATGAGGTTTTGTTGTGAATCAAAAATGAAAGAGTAGAGTGGTTGGTATCGTGGTATTTGGAGTGCAATGGATTGCGGGTTTGGCTTGCGCAGAGAAAGAGTCGGCTGAAATGGTTGTGAGATGTAGTGTGAATCTGATCAAGTGGTTTTGTGGTGCCGCGGTTTACGAAAGGTTTGCGTATCGAATTGGTTAAAATGTAATTGGTCGAAGTTGCGGTGATGGGAATTTTGTCATAGGGGTCGTTTGGTTTCGCATGGAATTGTAAGGGTCTTTTAGTCTTTTCACTTTGTTTCCTAATCTCAACTTAAATTTCTAAGATTTATCCTCAAGAGTGATTTGAACGCCTAATAATATGCTAATCTTGCAAGGCTTTAATTATCGAATTTTTCACACCTTAATTATGTTTAGTATACTAGTATCATGTTTATCTAAAATTTATAGGCTTTGTCTTATAGTGAACATCCTTATTAGTATTTAACGTTATTCACTAATTTAGAATTAGTTATAGGAATTCAAGAAATTTTATATACTTAATCTGCTCAGGTAACATTAATTTTCAACATTAAGAAAACTATGTATTTTAGTATTTTATTTTAAGGCGATAAATTAATCTAACTCAAGAAATATTAATTTAGTAGCAAAACCGAATAATTCAATATTGGGCACAATTATATTATTTATTACATAGAAATTGTCTTTACACCTTTATTTCAAAACCATTAGTTACAACACTAGAATTCAAAGAAATTAATTATTAGATCAATGAAATAGTTTACCTTCGAAATATGAAGTTAATGTAACAAAACTAAGAAGTTTAGTAGTTTAGCACAATTCTTTTATTTTGCACATAACGTTTAATTCCACATACTTATTTAAAAACAATTGGACTTCGTGCTAAAATTTATTAAGGAATTAAAATGCAAATAAATATGCACTGATATTTATATGTCTATTTTCAGGGTTCTCACATCCTCCCCTCCTTAAAATGAATTTTGTCCTCAAAATTCTTACTTTCTCAAGAGATAGGTTGGGTTACTTGTTGCATCTCTTCTTCTAGTTCCCAAGATTAGTGCGGTCGTTTAGTTTTAGATCATTTATTTGCTACAAGGCCATACTTTTTTTTTTTATTATTGTCTCATGCGTTGCCTCAAAATTTCGTTGGTTCTAATTTATGTGTACCTCGAAAAATTTTGCTTATATCAATTAGTAGGTTTCCACACGTTTGGCTTTAAGGAGAATTAATTAGTCAGGTAATTTATTCAACTGTATAATGTATTCAAATTGCTCAATTTACAATATACCTATCGTGTATATTTGATTCATATATATATATTACACTATTCTAGAATATTTCTAATAGCAAAGTAACTAAAATAAAGGATATTTATAGTGTACATACAATTCGTAGCGTACATATAATTTATAGCAGAAGATTACAATCTCCAAAAGTGCTATTCTAGTTTAGGGTAACTATAACCTCTATTCCTCAAGTGAGGTCAAACCCTCTTGATTTGTGAAACGTTCACTACTAGGACCCCGTTCATGGTCGTTAACACGAATTACTTCCATCTGGCACTTAATCGCTCTGTAGCGGACTTAGTTGTCTGCTGAATACTTCCTCTTTTTAAATGCTCTAAGGCATTCCGAAATCTTGTGCTGGGTACTACCGCACTTCAAGCTCTTTCCTCCCTTTTTCCAGCATTCCTTCTCGGTATGACCAGCTTTTCTACAATACCCACAATTTGCTCGAAAAGTGGCGGCCTGGACATTTCGGGGATTTTTCTTATGTTTCTTCTGTGGTTCTACATTCTGGCGTAGTAGCTCAATTTTCTCGGCATATTCTTGTTTCCATCGTCCTTCCCAGTAGTCAGCCAATTTCCTTTGAAATTCTACCTCATTTCGGAGGATGTCTATTTCCTTACGCATTTCTTCCAAAGTTGTCATCTTACTAGTTGGCTTAAGTCAAATAGCTAGCCTGCCAGACAAATCATAGGATCAAGGTAAGCAACTATTCATACTGGAAGCTCGAGCCGTAATGCTCTTTCATCTTTTTACGAATGGTTACTCCAAAATATAAACCTTACTACTTCCTGCCTAATCCAGCGAGTTCTTAAGTATAACCGAGATTACCATCGTTAATCACTATCACGACAGAATAAGGAAGCCTTATCCCAAGGAAAATTTTCATGTCTTAGTGCGCTATTCAATATTTACCTTCAAAGTTGTTTGAAACAAAAGTCGTACTTCTTATTCTCACTAGGGCCTTATTGTATTCCTTCGATTCATTCTTAAAATTTTGAGGTTAGATTCCCCATGGAACCTAGATAGACGAATTTCAAGAGTCACTCCATTTTCGCAACTCTTTTGGTTCCTAGGTTAGTTGATTGGCCTAGAGCTTTGGTATTCCACCAACCGTTCTAAGGTATCAGTCATATGGTCAATAGGATAACTACGTGGGCGGTTTCCTTCTAAATTCCCATTGATAGCACCTTTGTCGAAGTCTGTCTACCATTAGCTCTTGAAACAATTATAACATCCTTAAAGGCTCAACTTTCAAAATTTTACGCCCCTTTTTTGACTAATAACAGGATATTAAATACACATTTGGAAAAATTGTGGTCTTAGTGTTTTCCCCGTAATTTAAGTGTCGAATCGACTGCTTCCCAAAGTATATAAAAGTTCAACTACTTGAATTTACAATTTATCTGCGCGTCATACTCAATTAAAAATTCTCACCCAAGATAGCATTATCAATCTGACATTATCGCTCCCTAAGCTTTATATTTCTCACAACGGTTGATTTAAAATAAGTATAACCAATTATGCATACATCTGATTGCGGTTAATTTCACTCCATATATATTATTAATACCCAGCAAAACCATGATCAATTTAATTACATCACAGAACAAAGTCAATTACAACATATATCAAGCTCAAGTACACTAATTAGAAATCAAACAAATCTCTTTTTTTTTTCTTTTTTTTTTTAAGTGCATTCAATATCCAAACATGGCAAAGTTCCAACTCCAACATCCCATCCTATTGATTTCTATCCATAATAGGGTTGGTAAATCCTTGAAATTCCTACCTTTATTCACAAAAGTTCAGTTTATTATTATTTATTTTTTTTTTCTTAATCTCATAGTTCTATACACCACTTTGGTTACCAAAATTTCACTCAGGTTAGTAATTATTCAATTCCCGGGGCTAATAAATATTGCAGCGCTACAAAAAAAATGAAACACGTAATCATCAAATTATATACTTCACAATATAAGTCACATTGCATACCAAATTCACACAACTTCAAAAGCTAGATAATTCACGAATACATTCAATATTTTCATACATAACTCAAACTTCAATCATCATAAGCATGAAAGGAAACAATACAACAATACACAAATTATTATAATCACATAGCAAATAGCTCAACTTTTAGTGTAGATTCAACTTAACCTTCATTAGTTTAGTCTTGGACAATCCCACTGGATTCCCTTAGTAACACTAATCAAATTTTCTTAGTGGATTGTAGATCTACTCCGTCTAATATCGAATCAAATAATATGATCCTTTCTTAAGTACATCAGTGGTTCTTAAGTAATCTAAAAGATCTCAAACATTTCATACATTGGCTTTTCTACTATCCTAACAACTAATTATCTTTATCCTTTCAAACATTTGCCCCAATAATATTTCAATAAAACTTAAAGACCACAATGTCATCTAGAACTCACCTTTAGTTATTTGCAAATGGTAGCATACTAACCACATGATAAATTCATCAAACTTATCCCTTCCCCAGGTCTAAAGCCACTCACAACTGCGTAGCCCTTACTTAAACTGCCGTTTCACTCAGATTCTAGGTCTAAAGCCACATGTTAGGATAAGGGATGGTAAAAAGTTCATTTACTATCATAAAGGCTAGTAAGGCCACCAATAAAGCCTTTTCACTTTTAACTTTCAAAAGCTAACCTTGGTCTCTTTAATTCTTCCTTTCCAAACTTAATCATGGTTTCTAGTCACATCGTAATGCAGTATACTGGATTCTTTTCAATTGCAAAACTCTATTAAATGAAATATTTCGTACTCGGGTACAAGAATCCGAAAATGAGATGATTCACAACTCAAGCTGGCCAGTCCCAAGCATGAATCACCTATATTTAAGATTCCTACCCAACGTACATATCTAATTCCTTTAGCAATAGCAATTAGTTCAACACTTAATAGGCCATTTCCCCACGGTCCGAGAACCTTTTCCCGGTTTGAGCTCAATAAGAGCTCTGATACCACCTGTGGCGACCCCACCTTCCCCTGAGGCGAACCAAAGGGTTGGCGGATCGTCTGCCCAGCTCTCGCCAGGACTCAAGCACGCATTTCAAACCTGAATTCCTCCGAAGAAAAGTCTAATCTATTGCATCAGCAAATCTTCCAAGTAAAACTTTATAACTCCACAGTAACTTCAGGGATAGCAGTGACATAAGTCAGCCCTTCGACGGCTCTTAAAACTATCGTTCACGCGCTTTACAAGAACAAAGTCGTATAATCCTAACGTACAAAAACCCAAACAGCGGAAACATAAAAATACCCCAGCCATAGGTCACCACGAGAGCCACACATTTTCCAGCTTCAAGTGGTAACACAAGGCGAAAGTACGCAAGCAGGATTACACGTTACAAACTGAAATTTACAATTCTTAAAAACCACATTGTCCAAACACACGTATAACCAAATAAAAACAGCATCCAACTTCTCAAGCCTCAAAACCTGTAAGGAAAACAAATAAACGTGGGATGAGCCGAAGCTCAGTGGTGCCCCAAAACATGCATCCAAATAAACATTTAACAGGTAGAAATTTGCAGCATTAAACAAGTAGGAAAGCGAGTAACAACACAGGGTAGGATACAGGGCTCTCAGGAGCCAATTTCCACGCTTGATTAGATACTATCGTAGTTGACCCTCCGTCAACTTTCACTACTTATAGTCCATGTAGATCCACTTATTTTAATCCTAACCCGTCACCATTCATACCTCTGCTTTGGGCCCAAACTTCCTCTACCGACGCAGTATACTCGAGATATACCCGTAATAAATTTGTCGAGGGATTCACCCAACGACGTAATTGTAGTTTGATTCATGCGTCGAGGGA